TATATACATAATATACACCTATGTATGTAGGATGATTAAGTAATGAGATTATATTGTAGTATGTTGACTATATTTTTTTATTTGTATTAGATTATAGTGTTTTAGCTACTTGTGAAGAGAATTTTTAATTCTGGTGTGCTATTTACATAATTATTTCATTATTTTGTTCATGATTCACAAAATAGCGCTGTTCAATTTTGACAACTGAACCAATTGGACGTTACATTTTCCTACTAATATCACAAACAGGCTCACAGCATCTTCGTCAAAAAGCACAAAATATGTCTTTGTAAGTGCTATCACCATGCAAGTTTTTAAAAAAAAGAAAGGCTTTGATAATTTAGCTGTACGTGTACGTACAGCGGGTCCCAATAAAACAACACACTGCAAAGGGATGCCCGATTTCGATACGTCTAGTTAGGTACGGTTTAACGCTGGATTTTGGGCTTTATGCACTTGAATATATACACCAATGACTTTTTTGTCGCTCTCCACTTCAAAACGGCGAACGGCGCTCTTCCAATGGTGTTTCCAAAAGGAATTTGGTTGATCTCGGATTTGGAAAGCGTTAACCTCTCTTTTAGTTGGATTTCCCTTTTGTAGGGATCAGCTGAGGACAAACATGTGAGATAATTGTTTCTCTTTCAAATTATTTTCGAAATACTTCAAAGATAACTGGATTCTTTTGGTTATAAGTTTGATATAATTATATTGAGATTGAGATGATTTAAGTAGATTAAGAAATGACGACTAGTTACTGATCAAGTTATGATACTTAAATAAGTTCTTTGAAGTTCTCCGAATCGGTGAGTTGCTGTTTACAGAAACTAATTTTTAAAGCTCTTCAAAGTAATGGGTGGTTTTCATTGAAATATTGGATTGAATGAAAAAGGTTATAAATCGGATGATTGACGGATGTAAGGGGGCAAGTCGAGAACCTTCCATTATTGGTTTCCGAAAACTTCCATCCAAACTATTTCACGGGTTCCATACTTAAATAGTTATCGTATATGTTGTAATATTATGACAGTACGTGCATTTCATACCCAGCCCTTCGGAAACCACTTGATAATATTATTAATTTGTGGGGTCTATGATATTATGCTCGAGTACCTTTACTCCGAATATCTAATACTATAAAATAATACGGTTCTCTCTATGGCGTTACTTCGATTGTACCTCTCTATTAAGCAATTTATGGTTTGTTATTTAAGTGTGGAAAAATATTACATTTTTCATTGGAACTGTTTGTTTTTTTATGGGATAAGTTGGTAAACGAGCAGACGGCTCACGTGATAGTAACCAATCGGCGTCGCTCATGGACATCCGGAATACCAGAGGTGTTAGAGGTGTTCCAAGTGTGTTACCGGCCTTTTAGGGATTAGGAATTTGAGGAGTGTTGGCATTCAGGGATTAGGGAGATTGGGGAGAGGGGGAAGGTTGATTGGGCTTCCGGTAACCTTACTCACACGACGAAACGCAACGCAAGCGTTTGTTTCACGTCTGTTTTCTGTGTGGCCGTGGTATAACTCCGAGTCGGCCCATTTGTACCGAAACATGGCTCTCTCACACTTAAAACTTAGTTGTGATCTTAGTTATAAGGAATTCAGAAAAATAATCAAAATTTTTATTATTTACAAAAATATATTACATTGTTTGTAACTACATACATATTTACAACTTAAAATTAACTACAACTAAACTATTCAATAAAATGAAAGTATGACTACTTACTTTATTGTAAGTAGTTAGGAAACATAATTTTTTTAATTACTAATGAGACCTTTACTTTACATCAAATTCTACGTACTATTTTGTTCATTAATTTTCTTTTACAACTTCAATGGGTACTTCAACAAACCAAGGGTATAGGAAGTCAGCAAGGCATAATAGTTTGAGTAATAGTTTTCCCATAAAACTTAATTTTAAAATATTATACGGGAACGTTACCCTTTTACGCCTCCAGTAAGTGCCTCTATAATATTTTATGTACGCCCCAACGATAACGATATATAATATTGTGTTGCTGTATCGGGACTATTCAGCTACATCTGTTATGAAACTATGAAAATATGGCCTTGAGATGTTATATAGCATTTTTAAAAGTATTATTGGATATGTAGTTGAGGCAAATGGTGGCTAAGGTGGTATACCGTGGGTTGGGGCACAAAACACACCATGAAAGAAACTCATCTCCAACAGAGTTTTTTTTATATTTGATGGGTCGATGTTTGGCCACTAAATGGCCTGATGATAAGCGATGATGCGTCCTATCTATGATTCTGTATGGTTATAGTGTACATAAGATATATCAAACTAGAATAAGACAGTGAATACTACATTTAAAATATGTATGTATGTAGATTGGAATACTATTAATACCCGAAGATACCAAGAAACAATTCGTTTCCAATCTTCGCATGCACTTGAATTTATGGCGTATAAAAACAAAGTTAGACAGGTTGTAATACTACATGTATCGCCTTCATTTAGACCAGGGCACTTGATATAGTACGACGGTTTATAGCCACTAACATTCGTATAAAGTTCACTCGTATAACTGGACTGTTATACGAGTCTGCACCTTGTACACACGGTGAAATGCTATATCATTTACTTGAAGTTCAAAGTCAGGTTTTTTGTGTCTTAGAGATAAAATTGGTTTGTATGGCTGTAAACAGCTGATGATGTACACATCAACATAATAGGTTTAATGATTGTTACCACTGATAGTTAACTTAGAACTTTCAACTTGATTATAACCTTAAAAAATATTACAGGCAATGTACCTGAGTAAGATTTAAATATCATTTATTTATTTACTAACTTACATTTACCATTACAGGATGACCCAATGTGATAAATGCGAACTATTTAATCCTATCTTATTACTTATAACTACTTACAAACAAAGCATTCCTTGTGAATTCACTCAGAGATCAGTAAAATAAGTCCGTCTCACTCGCTATAAGGTTAAGCGTGCGGAGCGTACGCGTCAGCGGTGCCTCCTTTAGTAGGTTAGTCCGAGAACGCGGTTCCACCAGCAGTCGTGGCTGTCATTGTCGCCACACCACATCATCTAGCACTTAACCCGAAAGGCAGCAGAATTTCACGTGTGAAAATAAAATGCACATTTCAACCCAACGTTCCTTTCTAAATCAATTTTGAACAAAAAGCGATATCAAAAGCTTATCACCAGTATCGACGGACGGCGAAAATAGTTCAGCCCATGACGCAAGGATTAGCTAGTCAACACAGTTGCTAGCGAGGCTAACCAGCCGTTTTACTGACAGCGCTTCAATGAAGAACTGTTCACATTTTCTAGTGATTGACAATCGAACAGCGGCCGGTCGGTAGCCGCTGACCTACAGCAAATACCGGATAAAACCGGAATGCAATCGATAGAATGGGATTACTGGCATTCGATACAGTTGTTTGGCTCCTGTTTACTGTAACAACAACCTAGATTGTTTTCAAATTTTTGCATAAATTAAATTGAAGAAAAAAATGGAAATAATTGATAGCATAAATCAATGGTTCACTAAAATAAACGGTTGTTGAATCTTTTGCTTGCTTTTGATCTTTTAGGTCTTTTAAAATACTAGAGTGCATCGACACTAATAGCCAAATATAAACAAATGCTACAGTACCTATTCCAATGTTACGATTAAAACTTTAAAAACTGATATTAGGTGTAGATCTGGGTCTCACCTCGAACTAGTTATTCTACAGATCAGTCAACATATAACTTCTGAAAGCCGCACACAACCATACATCAATGGGAATTCGTAACTGTACTCAGAATAACTATTTATGTAACTTTGTGTAGTTTCAAAAACAACAAATAGACAAAACATATACAAAATTTACGTCCACCGATGTTTTGTCACGTATAGAATGCCGCTATTACGACGTCGCGTAATGTACGCAAACTTTACGAGGGCCGCGGGGCGAAAAATATGACGTACGACGAATAAATTACTTTTTCTCCTTGTCGAATGTTTGTTCCAAGTTTTCCAACATTTTTTATCTATACCCGAATTGTTTACTTGGGCGTTGCAAGGAAAATATTGTAGTTTGATAGCTTACCACTCGCATGTATTGGTATTTTTACAAGCGATTGAGCTTCAAGTTTTAGAATATGGTTGTTAAAGTACTGCGGGAATCGAACACATAAATAAGCGTACGTTTCTCCGTATGCGATTGTTTATATCTTATGTGTTTTCGATGTTTTCGTCGTCGTCGTCCAAAAGCTATGAATTTGTATTATAAAATGTTGAATGTTTGTTTTAGAAGCTTGTTGTTGATATAAACTGAAACTGAATGACATAGTTTTCTAATAGTTTAAGTAGCCTAGTAGTATCAATAAGTAAAGCCAATACATGTCAATCTCAGAATTTACTCCGACAAAAACGCATGTAAATGATACACCTAATTTAAGCAGTCAAGCCCAAAGTGTTAGAGTTCTTTGCCAAAACCTATGTTTACACAAATCCATGAGGATGTAATAATATTATAATAAGAATTTCTATAGAAAAATCCAAGTGATAAGGGTTTGACAGTCAAATTTCTATCAGATAATGGTATGAAAATGTGACACGAGCAGACGTAGGAAGTAATTATAGTTTAAAGAAAATATCGTTTTCCAAAAAGATGCGATAGGTATCCGTGTTTGTGGTGACACTTTTTATTATCGTCTTTTATTTGTTTTCCAAGTTTAATATTAAACAGCACTAATAAAAACGCTCTTCTGGAATAATATTTCTTTAGTATTTTAACCTTTTTTATCGATAAAACTCTAAATATAAAATGACATCGATTAATTAGCAATGAGTTATTTTAATAATATATTAAACTCTCGATAACAAGTTCACATTAAGTTCTAACTTAGTAATCGCTAGAAAAAATATTATTTATGTAGTTACTTTTGTTAAATTCCATATTTTACTATTCAGCTTACATCAAACAAAGGTTAACAAGTGTTAATTCGAAATGTCTTAAAAAAATTCTGACTTTGTAGCTAAAGAGTCGAAAACCAACATTGTGTTAACCAAAACAGCTTACAAAATAATATAATTGCTTGAGTAATAGCTGTTGATGTTACTATAAAAAGCTTTGCGCTGTAAATGGCACCTTTATAATGTTTTAAGGCACCTTATTACGTCATAAAGTGTTCGAAAAGTCTAACAGTCTTCGGTAACGAGTTAACAACTTACTAATAAAGTATTCCAAGCACAAAGCTTTAAAAATCTTCCGGTGTGCATTAATTTATGTAATAAAGACCTGGCATTACAACTTTTCACTTAACGATTTCATCAAAACAAACTGGATCTCATTTTATCAATTGTCAAAGTTTTAAAACTTAATCCACTTAAGGGCCCTTAAAGGGGAGTGCACAGTGCGCATGACTCTGCCCTAGCGGGAAACATCAAGGACATTAGGCGGACAGCCTTCGTACCGGGAGCACGGCTCAGTCCCCCGCGCCACTCAAATATGGAATACGCGCGCGTACGGTGGTGTAAGCCAGATGTAAACTTACGAAACTAAATCGAAATTTTGCGAACATCAATTAAATATTGTGTCGAAAATTTTGTCCACAAAATATGGAAAAAGTGCCACTGTGTGTTTGTTGTTTTTAAATAATATACGCTTAACAGTGTGAATTTATATGATAATATGATGTGACTAAGTTTATTTTAATTTTACTGTGCATTCAGACCATTAAATTATGTAATTATGAGATATTCTGGTTACGTAAAAATGAAGTTTTTGGCGTTTGTTGCGTTGTGTGGTGAGTACAGTTATTATTTTAATAGTAATCTAATTTTAGATAATCATAATATATTTTAAAACTGGCGCAATTATAAATAATATAGCTACTGTAATATTGAACTAAATTGACACACTCTCAGAAAGTTATGAACACAATAGTTATCTAATCACAGTGTATTAACATTAGCTTATTATTCATTCTAATAATTATCTTAGCCATTAAAATCAAAATAAAAAGAACGTAACGTCAACCATTACGCCAGATAACGTCGACTCCACATTTTTTCTGACCCACACTATAAACTACCCCTAAGTTATCATAATTATCCACCCACGTAACCCCTAGCCAATAACGTGGCGTGAGATTTATGATTATACCCACAATAAACGACCCAAAGTTTTAGTAGGGGCCCGATGGCCGGCTGCGAACCCGTCAATACCCCTAGTACCCATATTTACCCATATTTAGTATTATAAAATATTTTCTAAACTAAAATATACCCTTTCTATGAACGTAAATCAAGCAACGAAATGGTCTACAGCGGAACATGAAAGGTTAAAGGTCTGTTGTTAGTATATGTACCGTAAAGGGCAACAACAGATTTCTGCTTTGAATTCCTCGGCTCGTTTTCGGTCAGTTTCGGCCACTCGAGTTTATACGAGTATTGTAATTAAACTCCGTTTATGTTTATGCGGGAGTCATAGAAGGATTTAATCGTTATTTGATTTCGATTAGCTTTTTGTAAAGAGATTTGCTTCTGTGTTTTAAGAATAGGTTTTAGATACGCGTCAACCGTATACTGTCAAGTCAAACTTTGACAGCTGTTCGGTTCTAGTTGCGGACAGTGAATGTAGGCTCAGTACTTGTAAACAAACTAGTTATTATTATAGAAATGAACATTATGCATGGGTTGAGACAAATTATTTACATTAACCAAAACTCGCGGGTTACTTACGTGAATATACTGAGAAAAACTCGCGGTCGAGACATCGCCGTAGACCGCGCATGCTGCATAAGTGAAAGAGCCCTCTGTGGCTCGAAACTGGTAGAGCTTTTCTCAGTATATTTATATGAATAACCCGCGATTTTTATTTCATTTAGTATGCCCCACGATAGTTATTATAAAAAATATTTGCAATAATTATTTAACAATTAAGATAAATACATTGAACAAGTACAAAGAATGATAATTATGATCTACAATAAAGTGTGATACGATTCGACAAGGTTCAATATTTAATAAATAAATTAGACAAATGTGCTAGCTTGATATGCGAGATTGAGTTTGCACTTTATGGCGCATAAGTTGTTTACTATATATTACGTTAGACAAAATTAGACCCTATGCTACATTTGACTGAGAAAAGAGGTCCAAAATCATAATAAACCAACGAATCCATTATGCAAGTCATAATTATTTGTCAAAGTCAAGAACTACATAATAGATTGCTACTCGGAAGATAATTAAGTATGTCGGGAATTTACTTAATCATCGCTGGAGATAATGTTACGAGATTAAACTATCAAAGTTATATATAATAGTATTGTTAAGTAATTATCCTTTGAGCATTTATTATTGAGTATCCTTAGGAAGGTCCATAGATAGTTCAACTTAATGTTATTAAGATTTATATTTATCTCGGCCTTGTTAGCCGAAAGTTTGCGAGTGCAAATGCTGGGCAAGTGGTCTCTGGTTCGATTTCGGCTAGGGCAAAGTATTACTGGGTTTTTTTAAACCTCAATAATAGCACGGAGTCTGGAATTGTGCCCGGTATAGGGCAATAGGCTCACCCCATAATACATGGGACTCACAACATAATTAATAGTGAAAAGTGGGTGTTACATTGTCATAATGTGCATCCCTTCGGCGAAAAAAGCGTGATATTATGATTTATGTTTTATAATATGTAGTAATACACGTGTCCAATGTCCCTTAAGGCTGAAAAGGACCCAACTTCTGTTCTCTGTGAACTACTTAGTATTATTATGTACAATAAATTGTAATATAATGTTTTTTGTTTCATTTGATTTAGATGACCTCTTTTTTGGTACATTTGAATTTGAATAGAGTTATAATGTAAAGTTAGCTAGTTAGCATTGATTTGATTGGTTCGTGCAGTGTTTTATTGCAGCAAGTAATTAGAATAATAAAATTGAGATAGTTGATTTAGGTCTCATCCCCAAACAGAAAAAGTATCTATGACTGCGAATTTTTGAAATTGGTTTATATTTCCTAGTCTGTTTAAATTATTTTTTTTACACTGGTTTGTATTGTTCATGTCCAGACACATGAGTATTAGTATTAACGTTAATAATAACTTTTTTATAAGCTTCTTTTACATATTTGTAAGTATAAATAACCTTAAATTTTTATTTTATTCATTCACTATTTGATTTTTATAGCTAATCCAGTGCTTAATATACGTAATTTCTAATTCAATATTTAATAGCGCACGATAGTTACAGATACTGACAGTCAGTTGCGACATAAGTAAAGTCAAATTTTTCTATTTCTAAACCATGGATCGTAGACATCAACCGTTTGAATATACGACAAAATTTTGCACAAATAATGCCTCAAAAATACAGTGAAGAAGTGAATACAGTGAAATATACACATTCGATTCGAATACTTACTAGATATTAAATCGAAATGTAAACAATGATTCTTGATTCACGAGCAAAATAATATATATATTTATTTATACCGAACTCCATTCTCAATAAACTGACATATTTCGTGTTTACTGAACGTGAAAAATGTCAATAAAAACCGTTTACGTTCATGTTACAAGTATAAAAATGATTTTATGAGTCACGTGGCCTCTTCATTATCTTGGGTTACAGTATGTCAAATGTCTAAGTGATGAACGTTGTAACATTTGTGTATAGAAGTATTTGCATTTTAATTTTAGCTGCGTTTGTCGATTATTTACTGTTGTTTGACAGTTTTCGATATTAGTTACAATCTACGTTTATTCTATGGTCGAATTTGGTTTGGTAAAAGTTTCCTTATGAAATAGTATTGCTGGAATTTAAGTGTACTTTAATAATGTTTCTGATTATTTTCTCGGAAAGTAATGAATGTAACGTGATGTTAATCGTCCAAACGACCCAAATTATATCGAACTGACTTCTGTAATTGATTTCCAGTTTTACCATTTAATTAATCAAGTTGAAATTCATTAAAAGAGTTAGGCAGTTAGTTAGTATAACCCAACCTTATAAATATTTTTTTAACGTTGCACACACTAAGTTTGTCTCCTGTGTCGTGGGTATGCACAATGATACCAAGACCCGAATCCACAACAACCAAACCACACGTTGCGCGGCAGCCGATTGCCCAGCCACCGCGCCAAACATACAGTCAAACAAGTGTATACTATACATTTCAATATATCTATTATAAATGTAGATACTGCCATACCAGATACCTCACAGAAGTTACTTCACACTCTAAAACACTTTAAAAATTCATATTGTTTTGCATTATTGCGTAAGTCTCAAGACTTGATAGTGTTTTTTCTCCAACATTTTCTAGCTCAGCATGAAAATATGCAATTAAGAATGTTACAAAGCGTGTAATAGGGAAGGCGTGTTTTTATGAAGACCTTCCCTTTGGCCTCTGTGTAGAATAAGGTTCATTTTCCATCTAATTTTTATAGTAGCTTTTTAAATTCGCTTTTACGTAGAATGGTTTCATCGATGATGCTCTTCTAGTTCGTTCTTATGTGTTCTATATTCGATTGCTATTTTTTTTCTATTTGCCGATACTGTTACGCTGTTTTGTTTGATGTCCACATTTTATATGAATATATATATACCTATTATACTATTTAGTGATACTTTTTAATATCTAGCCCGCTTCCTCGTTGTCTGAGTAGTCGCAAGTGCGACTGCGGCAAGGGGTTCGATCCTCGGGTCGGGCAAAGTATTACTGTCTTTTTTTTTTAATTCTTAATAGTAGCACGGAGTCTAGATATGTGCCCGGTATATGGTAAAAGGCTCACCCCCTATTACATGAGACATATAACATATACTAAATAGTGATAATTGGGCGTGTATTTTTAATATTAAGCTACTTTACAACCCACTTTCAGTTATCATGTATACATACAAAAGTTGATAATTTTGGTTACCTAACTGTGGCAAATAAATAAATTTTTCCTCAATGTAGATTACTTTTGTTTGTTTACAACTTTACTTTTGAGTGATAGGCATAGGTATTTAACAAATATTAGATGGATACTCTACTTATTATATTCTATTCATGTTCTCTTTTTAAAAATAACTATACCTACATTTTATTAACAAAAAAGTGCAAGAAGTTTAACTGTGAATAATATTTCGTGTAATAACAGTTCAGGAACAGCTGTAATTGTCAAAACTGCAACCACCTAACTACACTTTCTATACAATTACACTGACTCATCTTTCAATACTAAGTGGGTAACATAAACGGTAACATTTTTTTTCTAATTAGAACGAGGATATCCTCTCGCATCCCACATGTCAATTCGTTTACACCCTCCATGCATGACCCCATGTTATATGAACAAGGGACGTTATTCAGGGGTCAAATACGTCGAAGTCATTGTTTTTATATTATTTCGTTCGTATTTTAAAACCAGTATAAACTGAGCGTCAAATGTGCTGCACGATAAATAATTTAAGAGATCATGATAAAGTGGTTTCGTCTACCTTGATGTGTATGTAGCTACTGTTAAATAAATAGGGGTTTAGATAACATTGCGTGTATTGATATTGTGAAAGATAATGAAGTTACAAATTAATTTTAATGTCAAGTTACTTTGTTGCGTAATTTTATTTTGTGCATCTGCCTTCCATATATATATTACATATATTGAATCCCGTCGTGGTGGCCCGGAGGTTTAAGACGCCCACTTCTCATGCATGATGGTGCTGGTTCGAAACCTACCAACGGCAAGTACCAATGTGACTTTTTCCGAGTTATATGTACTTTCTAAGATTATTTAGACACCACTGACAAACGGTGAAGGAAAAACATCGTGAGGAAACCTGGACTTATAATTTCTAATTATAAGTTTGAAATCGCCAACCCGCATTGAGCAAGCGTGGTGATTAACGCTCTAACCTTCTCCGTGTGAGAAGAGGCTTTGCTCAGCAGTGGGCATTTATAGGCTGTTGATGGATGGATGGATGGATATTGAATCCCATATATATTGAAATATGTTTCTTAGGTTGAAAAATGTGCGTCTGTTGAAATGATTTGTAGTAGTTTGCGGTCGGACCCAGAGGGAGAACCAACCCACTTGTTTCCTCGACGTGAGCATCTTCTCCTTCGCCTAACATTTTACCGGTGCGATGCTTTTGATGGCTGGCAGTATGGGGATCAGTATGTCACAACAATCCATGATGATAATTATGATCATCACTGGACGCAGGCATAACATACGTGCATAATAAAATAATAGATAGGTATGATGACAGGGTATATTAAAAATCTAATTACTCCGTCAGTTAGGTAATGAAAATTAGACACTTATTAGACACTTTTTTATTTTGTCGTATAAGAAAACAATACTCAGATAAAACGAATCAAAGTTTAGGAGTGGAAGGTAGTTACGTCACTTTAGAGTATAAATCGTACTCAAACGTGACGTCATGCGATATTTTAAATCAATATATCTTCGGAACGATTCGTTTCCGAAAGGAAATAAAAAGTACGTGTCTAATATTTTTAAATAATCTACCAGACGGACATTAAAATAAAAATTAGTCATCTACCCTATTTTCTTCATGTTTTCGGCCCACCTGAGATTCATCAGATGTACTGGTTTTGTTGATGGCTACATAATTTATGAGCTGGGGTGAGTTAAAATGGCAAATTTTGCCGACATAATAAATTATAGCAATTTAACAACTTATTCAGTGCAAGCAATAATCATCACTGAGTACGTCATTAATGGAATCATCGATATCCACAAAATATAATATATAAATAATCAATTAACTAAAACATAAACTTTATACAACAGTAATAAAGCAAAAATGTTTCACTTACAATAGTAACTGATCAATGAGTTTTATTTAACTTTTCCTATCGTAACATGGAACTGTGGAACTGTAACGGGCTAGTAGATTGATAGTGGACAGTTCAATCAAGCACGATTTGAAGTAACGATACTTGGTTGCGTGCCAGATTCCATTGCTCTTAGATTTCTGCCCACATGTTTGATTGCTCGATGCTACGACATATCCCTTCTGAATTTATTCTCGCCTAGTACTTTAGGCGCTGGTAATTGATTAAACGTTCCTGTTACTATTAAATATAATTATTATTTTTGATTATAAAATCTAAGGTCAAGATTTAACTAAACTGGGTTATTGTAAGGTATATATATAAAGATATACGTACACAATAGGGTAGTTGCCAGGGTATGAAAATTAAAAATCTAATTAGTCCGTCAGTTATAATATAATTAAAAAATATTGGACACGTATTTTTTTATTTTCTCGTATAGAGTTACAATACTTAGATAAAATGGAGTCAAATTTAGGATTGGGAGGTCGTTACATGATATTTTAAATTAAGCCTTTGACTGCCGACAGAAAACCGATGAAGGCAAATCCTCCGCTAACGTAGTTCACCGGTGACCTACGTGGCGGTTAACGTGTAAACATATCGTCGAAAATATTTAATTTGGTGAGAAAAAAATACATGTCCAATGATATAAATTAATCTATCAGACGGGCATTAAAATAAAATTTAGGAAACAACCTTATTCAAACCGCAAATTCTAAAATTGGGGTAAATTTAATAGCTGGCTACATAAAGTTTGTTGTTTTTTATGACGCAGAATATTGAGATGTTTTTGTCATTTATATACAAACTCATGGTAATACAATTTAGTCTTTTCGGTATCTCTATGCCATGTTTATTGCGCAAACCTGCTAAAATAAAAAGCAATCAGTATTATAAAGTACATAATACCCTCCCAGTTTATTTAAAAATATAATTGGATGGAGATTGAAGCAAAGTAATTTTCGGAAGAAGACTGAAGAAGTATAAGTACCTGAGTATTTATGGGAAAATATTATTTTGATCATGTTTGAAATAATTGCCTAATCACGTAGCAACAGGTAGAAATGGCAGCATTCGTGAAGGCAGTTGCCCTTGAAAGTAATATTACCTACTTTTATTGATAAGCTGCTTTTCCAAGTACTGTTTTGAATGTTTTGACGAGATGGTTCCAGAAAAAGACACGATTCGTGTCTAGAAATACAAATATTAATCGATTTTTTAAATACTTTTTTACTGTGGAAATTTGTTGATATACATATTAGCACACATAGAAAAGTGGGTGTTACATAGTACAGTGGCATTAAGTGCTGTAACGTACCTACACTCTGCCTACCCCTTCGGGGATAAAAGGTGTGATGTAATGTTATGTTATTAGCACATATATCTGTTATACCTTATAGCGTGAGTTACTTTTCTTTTATAGTTTGTAAAAAATAATTTATTTGAATCTTGTTGATTGAAACAGTGTAGTACATAAACGTCAAACAAAACGTAAAAAAATTACAATGTTCACAATTATATAACTTGTTATTACAAAATTTATCTATTTAAACAGTGATTACCAACTCACAATATTATCTATTGAAACACATTATGTAAATGGTAAAGTTCAAATATTTGTTTATGAAACTCACAACTTTTGTGATAACGGTCCATAATTTACTGCAGTAAATCTGTGAGCGCGAATCATGAAGGTCGTAGTGACGGGAGCGTCTGGGTTCCTTGGCTCTCGGCTGGCCGACGCCCTGCTTAGGACTGAACCACCTTGTCCTCTAAATGTAACCGAGCTTATCCTAACTGATGTCTACACTCCTCCGCCAAGAAAAGATCCCCGAGTCAAAGTTCTGGCACTTGACTTAACAAAACCATCCGCTGCTGAAGAACTAGTTGGTGAAAATTGTGATGTCGTCTTTCACCTTGCTGCTGTTGTTAGTGGACAAGCCGAAGCTGAATTCGATTATGGATTAAAAGCAAACTTGGATTCGACTAAGTATCTTCTCGACGCACTCCGGAAAAAAGCACCAAATGCCAAATTCGTTTTCGCCAGTTCTGTAGGTGTTTTTGGAGGAGATTTGCCACCTGTTATCGATGACCTGACTGCGACAATGCCTCAAACATCATATGGAACTGCAAAGGCAATGTGTGAATTACTAGTGAACGATTACTCGCGCCGTGGTTTTGTGGACGGTCGCAGCGTAAGGTTACCAACAGTAAGCGTACGTGCGGGTGTCGCAAATGCTGCGATGACGTCATTTGCTAGTGGAATAGTTCGGGAGCCTTTAAACGGCGAAGTTGCAGTATGTCCGGTAGATACGAAACAGGAATTGTGGCTGACTAGTCCTGCGATAGTGATACACAACATTATCCATGCAGCAACATTGGATGCCAGTGCTCTGGGCAAGTGGCGTTCCATTAACCTTCCCGGACTCTGTGTCTCAGTGGGGGATATGATTGCAGCTCTTCGTGAAGTGGCCGGGGATAAAGTTGCTTCCCTCATTCGCTACGAATATAATGAAACGATTTCCCGCATGGTTGCTTCTTTACCAGTGCATTTTGATAACAAGAGCGCTCTGAAACTCGGTTTTGCTGTGGATGCTAACTTTAATGATATTATTTCTCTTTATTTGAAGGAAAAGAGCTACAAATTAAAATAACTGTTTACTACGATTCACAGTGATTGTGAAATATTTAACTCAAATCAAATCTTAATAAATGATTAATTCATAATGCGTCTATTATTATTTTTCCTAAACGTATTGTTAGTATATAAACAGCTAGACCGTGAACAAGAAATGTTTAGTAGACCATAAAATTGAATGTATCGACCTCTTATTGTGTGAACCGTATCAAAGAAATTATTCGAAGGCAAAAGTTTGGCAAAACATCACAGAACGATATGAGGAGCAAAAGTAACTCATGTTTAATATTTCAACACTAGTACGAGTACCGAGTGGTAATACGAAGTTACAAGTAACAACTAAGTTAATTATTAAGGGCTTTTCATATAGTTTCTTGTACATATGAGTATGTACGTGTGTCGTAACAAGCAACTTGACTGCGGGCAGACTTATGTTTTGACGTTTATTAAATTATATTTGTGTCTTTTCTTTTCCTTGTGTTATGAGAGATGTATTACTATGTTACGTTAGTTGAAGGACGTGAATACTTCTACATATGTACAGTAGTGTTATACGAAAACTATAATTGATGTCTCTTATAATGATTAAATTTGCTATAATTATTTGATTTGTAGGGAACAAAGGCATTACGACTGTGTCTCTACGGTTGTATATTTTCTTACTAAAGCTGATTCATTGGCTCAGATTATTACACTAAGAGCACCTCTTTACTGTTTTAATTACTGTGTTTTGTATATAAATATACTGGTACACAATTACATTGCCACTTACTTATTAAAGCCCTTCCTAATTCTGTAACAAAAAGTAATTTGTTTGGTAATTATAGTACCTTTTATGAAACATCAAGGACCATCGTTACAGAAACATAAGTAAGCCTAAATGAAACATAATTATAAAAGCTTTCTAAAAATAGAATTTCTAAAGAGTGTGAAAGTACCTCTGGGAAGCTTAAAAAGGTTTTTGCCTTAAAGCGAGGCAGCTCTCCGTCCGATATTTGGAGCAGCGTAAAGCCATCGGAAAACTAACGCTCTGTACTTACATATGTATCCGTCTGTACCGCTATGTGCCGTGCTGTATTAAATTGTGCGGACAAAACATACCAAGTCAAGGGAATAACAATAACACAAAGATTACAAAAAGAACACAGACGGTATCGTTAAAATTAGGCATAATTCATCGCGGTTCCGACGTCTTTGGTGTTTCCTGAGGGATTAGATGTAAGAGGGTTATTGTGGACATAATTACAAAGGCGTGGTATTTTAATCCTGTCAAAGCCTGGAACTTGAAACAACATCCGCTGACAAGTTCGTTAACGTCTTAAATTAATTTTCGTTTAAAATTTGTCAATTGCCGTCGGAATTAAACGAAGTTTGTCGTTTCTTGACAACGCGGGATGGCTGGCTCGCGGCCAGCAGTCATTTTATAGAGGACTTTATTCTTTGTCTACATGGATGCGGCAACATGCTTCTGAATGGGACTACTGTGAAAATATAATAAATTTTAACTTACTGACACACGACCAAAGCGTCGAATTCGAGGAAATCCAATTAAAATTTAAATAGAACCCTTATCTTTGAGCAAGAATTAATTAAGAGCCACGATTTATCGTTGTTATCATTGAAATGTTCCATTGCAAATAACTTTTTTGGTAAATTTTTCACGAAAACAATGTAAGAGACAACAAAGAGAACAAACAAGTTGATTCAATGCATTTCCTATAATATAATGTAAAGTGAATGAATGAATATATTGTGAGTTGTGAAACAGTCAATTTTACAAACAAGTAGTTATAAAATGTTTGCATTAGTTTTACTTCAATACACTCACGGTGAAAACCAGTGCATAGGCAAAAATGTCGATTAAACCGTCGTCGTCGTATCTTTTTTTATAAACAACCGGATACTCATTGACAGCGGGCGGTCGCAGCCCGCCAGCGATTGCATGGGAAATTGTTAATTCTATTGGAGCGAAACACATAGGAAGCGTAGCACCGCGTACGCTGCGACTTGGCACCCTTCCAGTCAACGATTGTGCTTTACTATGGCGATTATTTTCACTGGTGCACTATTCAAACTGCTTCGGAATACGACTGAATAGACACGAAAGAATTTTCGTGTGCAACGACCGACTGTAATGACCGTTTATTCTTTGAAACACGCTCGGTGGAAATCTGTAAATAGGTATAAAGTACCGCGCGACTTTCAAATTCCTCCTTTTGAAATGTTTACAATTGTTATTTTATGAGCGGTTGAACGAAAAAAAAAAATATCAGAAAATTGGACACCTTCTAAGATTTATTTTAGAGGAAATTGCTATCGAATCTAATCGGATTTCGATCGTTCTATTTATAGGAATAATTTTAGGGTCCTTTCTCGAAAGGTGCTCAAATAAAAGATGCCTCACTAGCACTATAACCATATCCGGGCCATCTGTTTATCTATTGGCCATTCAGTTATGCTACATTTTTTCTTAGTTTACTCCTGTTGATATTTTAACTGCCTAGTTAGGTTTACCATCATTATAGCTTCAGGTCACTAGGACGAATTTCAGTTGAAGTTTAGTTAATATAGACCATAGATTATTTTTAAATGCAATTATTTTCATGTCTAACAGGAAATCAGTGAATATTACAACTCTTCTAAGTATAGTTCAAGATTATGGAGTTTTACAAAGAAATCAATTTTGTAACGAACATAAAGACAAATCTCCATTCGGGGCCTTTCATTCACATTTGGGCAGTTTCTAGTTCAAACTTGCATATATCATTGGCCCAATCATGTCGACTAGCTCACATGCAGGCGTTGCTGGGACGGTTCAACCAAATAACAGCTTGACGTATTAGACTGGCTCGAGCATCGTGCCAAGCGGCTCATTGATGATAAACCAGCACTAGAAGCCAAATTAGATAACCTCAAATGCTAACATAAAGAAGCTCAGCGCTGTATATTGTTGAATATATTTCGGGGAGCATTAAGCTTTCGCGTAATTTCATAGGATGATTTTTCACCAGTTCGCTTATGAGTACCATTTTACAGGACCTATTGCAGTGTATAAAAATTGAAAAATTGTTTTCATATTTCATATAAATGATACCTAGAAAAAACTTCCTAATTCAGGATCGAGTTGAAACGCTGTGATTCTATTCGATTAAAATCACGAGACTATATCTGAACTCGGATAACTTTTAACTCGTGTTTATACTATCCGATCACGTGGCGCGGTCACGTCTTTAGTTTGCAAAAGTTTTATGATAAAATCTCAAATTTTCATAATTGACCCACTTTATATAAACTCGATCTGTTAACGATCTCCATTTATTAGTCTTGATTTATTCCAGTGATTGAGCAATAATAAGATCACTCTTTAAACTAGACTAGGTTTAAAAATATCGTTGTAACAGCAGTTTAGTTTCAAAGCAGAAAAACTACCAATTAAAAAACTTTATGAGTGACGAGTAAGACAGGACTTTATTCTACCTCTACAGTGGTGCCCTCTGATAAGTGCAAAATTATTGTTTACAAGTAACATGTAATAAATTGTAAAGAGATAATGTGGTAAGTTATGAGTATAAAATATTACTGACACAAATAACACAGATAATAATAATAAAATACCTATCCAATAAATTAATCAAAACAAAATTATCCCTTTCGAAGAAATATTTATCAAACTAGCAAAACACATTTTTTCCGTAATATTATTTTATCCTCAAAAGGGTTACGTAAAGCGAAATTACGAATGTTGTAAATAAAGAATGGGGAACAAATTACGACGCTGAGGGTAAAGACTGATCATTACATAATATTTCTTTTTTTTACTTTATTTTTAGTTTGCTTGTTTTCTTTTGGAAGCAAACAGGCCTCTATGTGAAAAGGGAAAAAAGAAAATGGAAGATTTTTTGTCACTATAGCGGTCAAACTGAGATTATTTTTATTATATCTTCGTGGTGGTAACAAATAAATATGAGAAGTGCTTACAGAGACCAAGAATATCTTATTTCATTATAACATATAATGTTCTCACAATTTTCGCACGTTAAATGTTATTTTCTTTTTTTTGTCTAGTGTTAGGATCCGGGTAGAATCAAGACTCGTGTTGCTAAAACAATAATAGGTATTATCTATCCTTCCAGTTTAATTTTTTATATTAACGGTACACATTTAACAAACTAGTAAATTGTTAGTGATTAACAGTTTATTATTTACAAAACAAAAGTTTACTTAAACTGTTAATTATTATTTAACAATTAGGTAGTTACTTATTTCCAAATGTACATACAGCTGTAAATAATCCATATAACCATATAATCCTTAATACTTTTTATTTCGTCGCATTTGAAATCAGAATCATTTATTTTCCGTAAAAAAAAAACGGTAAAGCCCGCACCCTCATTCTTTTGTTTTGTCCTGTACGTGGTTGGCACATACTTAGCTCTGTATCGTTACGTCATCACAACAAAGACTGGGATACCAACTGTGTACAGCTTCTCGGACAAAAACCAACAATGATGGATCGTGTTTGCCACGAAATAATCTTATACATACACACTTATTTCTCCTATAAAAGTATCGGTATTATGCTATGTGAGCCTTTGCGCAATCTTTCAGAGAGAGGATAAGCTGAGTTTGGAAGGAAAACAATTTGTTTTCTTAAATAAATGACGTTTTTGTATTGTTTCTTTGGGTGTTACTGATTTGACTGAAATCCTGGAGTTTTTTTTAGTTGTGATTAACGATTAACGTAGTACAATTGTTTTTTTTTTTTAGCAATATAAACAGGTGTATTCGTAAATGCCTTTACATATAAAAGTAACACTAACTGTAAATAGAATTCAATACTAGACACCTAGTTCAATCTATTTTGTAAGCCATAGAAATGTTGGTATCGACACGCTATGTCAACGCTGGCCGATATTGGAGCATGCATTGTTATTTGCAAAAGGTTTTTTCCATCACCAGTTTCGCGTTTGTTCTAAGTATTATGGCGTGAGACACTATTCCCCAATGGCATAGAATATATAGCAAATTTAAGCCAGATATTGGTATAGGGTCCATTTTGTATTTGCTTTACATTGAGTGATTTTGACCATAACTGAGTTTGAATAGATACAATTTTTTTTTAATTTCTTAATGCTGCCATATCGTAGCCGTTAGGATTATTAGGAAAGAAGAGGCATTGCTTTTACATATCGACGAGTGTATTTTACACCGGTTCATATTGACCGCAGTGTGATATTTTGTAACGTATAACCTTCCTTGATTAGTGGCCTATCCAACACAAAAATAATTATTAAAATCGGACTGGTAGTTCCGGAGATTAGCGCGTTTAAACAAACGAACAAAAAAATAAATCAAACCCACTTATCAGCTATATATATAAGAAGATTAATAAACTATATCTATGTACACTAGTAATGGGATATGTTACGACTGCAAATATGTATGGATTTGAAGTTCCTTTAAATAAATACTATTTTCACACTTCAGTGGCCGGATAATTAGTTGCTTTTTGGTAGCGCGATACTGTGATACAGTCGTTGAAACGTGCAATTTTGATGCGGCCATCAAATATAGGAAGTTGCTGTAACGATACCGTATCGATGTTAGGCGCCAAATTGCCGATAGTTGATACCTACTTGTTAAACTAGTGTGTTCGATGTGACAACGTTTTTGTACTATTTTCATAGGCTAGTAATTTAGCTAGTAGATGATTTTAAAATCATAGTTCGAATGTTATTACGACCACTAGATCTCTAGTT